AAGTAATTATCAGGTTTGGCGTATATGTATACTATATGAATTAAAAATCATTTATAAATTTAAAAAAAATGCACGGTGCTCCGTGCTATTGCTCTAACCAATTTAGCTACGGTGTCTTACACGTCATACATATGTGTATACTAACCAAAGTTTGCGTTCGATCTATATTCCTCCTTGCACCTAAGGCGATATATGTTTCAGTTCGATTTAATCTATTAATGTCCCACTGCTGGGCAAAATTCTCCTGTCTTGTGGGAGAGAGGAGTGTTTAGACTTACTTATCTCTGTTCCAACGCTATCAGTTGTCATGACCAGGACAGACAGCTTACTATGCTCCCCAAAGCTCGTATGTACAAAGCCAAAATAAGAACAAATATGTCATAAACAATTCCATCTACACTGCACAGTATTACCTGTGTCAAACGTTTCGCTTCGATAGATTTCAGTGTATCCGCAGCACAAAGCCTTTGTCATTTTGCAGGCACCTGCTTTGAAGGTTCGATGGTTGAGCAAATATATAAAAAAGATTTTGTTTGAAAAAGGAACACAAGCGAAAGTGCCTCAAGTGTTTTCGGTGACAAATACTATGTAATCCATTTATGTAGATATCATTTTTGTGTGCGCTCATCTATCTGTACTAATAAAGCTGAAGAGTTTGTTTGTTTGAACGCGCTTATCTTCGAAACCATAGGTTCGAATTGAATAATATTTGTATTGGTTAGAGCATTTATCGAGGAAGGCTATAAACAACTAATAAAAGCGAAGAAATAGCGGGATATGTGGAAAAAAACGGGGGAAATTCACCATTCATCTTTGTAAGTTTCCAATGCATACGCTGCAAAACGGTTCAAGATAATTGAAGTTCAAGTAATGAATTATTTATTTTTAGATGATCCAATCAAAAGTCATTCTTTTAAAATACGCTTGCAAGAACAACGGGACCGACGTCCCGTCTAACAGCTTAAATTCATAAAGATTCTAAACTAGGAAACATCGTGGCATACGTTTAAAGTATGTTAAGTAATTATTCTTAGAGACATTTATATTGATTCCTAAACTGTAAACGAAACTTTCCATCCGAAAAAGTATTTAAGCGAACAGAAAAATTTGAGTTAGCTTTCCGCGACCAATCCAAGTATGAAGCCATAAAATGCTGACTCCCTTCAAATTGTTGAAAAGAAAATTCTCTCCTTCAATTTGTAGAGATTTTAAAAGCTTTACAATTGCGCGGGTGAAATTTTCTCACCATTAGTACCCCATTCAAGTTGAGTGACATTGGAATCTCGCGGTTCAGACGACAAGAAGTATAAATTTGAAAATTGAATTACCTATATGCAGACAATTTAGACTAGTGTATTAAAAATTGAAAAATTGTATTTTTTCACATGATGGCATCGTCAGCGTTCCGTGCTGTTGCTCTAACCAATCACACTCGACTTGGTAGCCCAATTGGTTAGAGCAACAGCACAGAACGCTGACGACGCCGGTTCATGTCCTGCCTGAGACGTAAAGTTTTTCAATTTATTTTCGATATATATGGAATAAGATAACGAATAATCATTTACACATAGAATATTGAATGTAATTAAACGCACAATTTTGTATGATACAGTAATAAATCATAGGATTTGAGTATTTGAAATTTCAAATATCACTAATCCAGATTTCCAGACGAAGTCCAACGTGTTTCGGAAAAAATATAAATAGTTTAGAAACATTTTGGAGGTTGGGATCAAAGCCATATACATTGCTTATATTATATCAACGAGCTCCTTAAACTATGATAGAGATATAAGACTTACATTTTACCTTTAAGTAAATTTTATTATTACAACGAACTAAAAAGATTCCGAGATAGAAGTCAAGTTAGATACGAAACAAGAGAAGGTTGTCACTTGTAAGGCGAAAGAATATCTAAACTACTCTACAAACAAAATCAACTTAGACTCTAAGAATTTGCTTAACTACTTAACACTCAATTATAGTGAAAGTTGAAAAAACCTTTCAACTGATTGCAGATATTACGTGCACTTTTCGGAAAATCAAATTAACTACTACAACTTAGTTTCACTCGAAACTTTGTGACTTTTAATTTGCTACCTGTTATACTTATAAACAAAGTTTGGCTTGCCTTTAAGTTATTTTTTGTCTATTTTGTATGGCTTAGTGGTAATCAGAATGCCTTTGGGGGGTATTTATAAAGACAAGGCAAAGACAGCCAACTATAATAATCGGACGAAATATATTTTTTTTGGCCATTCACAGGTGACTAACGTCTAATGGAAAGAAACAATTATTTCTTTCCATTCGTTCGTTTATAATACAATGCTGAAGAATATAAATACAGTAGGTATTTCCTAGCGTGGCTAGATTCACTGATCGATTTTACTTACAGGCAAGTCATTAATTGCACTTCGGTGCCCTGGTAAGCTGAAATAATTGTTTTCCCAAAATTCAAACCCAGGACCTAACATAATGCTAGACAACAAGGATAGGATGAGATCCTCTTCATTTGTCTTTGAGGTAGTTTTTAAAAAAGGAACAAAAATTTAAATATGTATTTTGTGATCTAAGCACTATACCTATTTTTCGTTTCAAATTGTTATGTTTTAAGATTACATAATTTTTTGTGCAAATAGCTAAAATTTAACGGAACTAATGCGTAGTATTCCAAGACTGTTCGTGAAAGCAGAAAAACAAGATGAAATTAATGTGCCGCCATCAAAACACTTCAGCGGCTCTTAATTAAGATCCTATTTAAAAGCTTTGTTTGTTATGCCTCTCTGTGGAGACGTCTTTTACAGAAAGTGTGAATATTTTTCTGTAAGCTATGTATTTACCGTCATTTCCCCTCAAATTATAATAATTTGTATTGCTGATTACGTATATGTCTTTATAATACCTACGACCGAGAACAAAAGTTAAAGTAAATGTGTAGGAAAACATAGTTAAGGTTCACCCTCAAAAAATCTATACTAGTATTATAAAGCTAAAGAGTTTGTTTGTTTGTTTAAACGCGCTAATCTCAGGAACTACTGGTTCGATTTGAAAAAAGTTTGTGTTGGATAAACCATTTAAAGAGGAAGGCTAACATCACGTTGTGGAACAAAAAAACAGCGAAAATTTTGGAAAAAATGTAGAAAATTATTTAACTTTGTGAGCTGCAAAATAATAAAATATATGTATATATAAAATTTCCTCAAGATAATGATCTTTCAAGATTAACTTGCAAGAACGAGCTTGACGTAAGAGCTAATAATTCTAAGTAAGACCCTTCTTATATTATGCTTAATTATATCTATATTATTATTGTCTATCGTAAGCCCACAGCAACAATATCAAAGCCCACTAATTACTACATGATTCTTTGCATCTGCACTTCATTGTTTCATAGACTTTGCCACACCTTCCGAGAAGCAATTCTTCAGACTATTATCATCTAGAAGAAGGGCTAATGGGTTTTTATTTTCTTGTTGTTTTCTCTTTTAATTCGTATTGTGTTTTTCCTTACTTGTTTTCAAGAAAATGTCTAAGCTTTATTTAAAAGCGCCTCGACGTATTGGTTATAATGGTTATGTAAAAAAGTTACACTTAAAATTAAATACAAAAGGCCTTCGTTCGTCATATATCGCAAAAGTGATGTAGCAAGTATTAAAATATTCACGGATGGTAGCAAGATCGAAGGTAAAAGTAGGAGCAGCGTACGTAGTAATGATAAATGAAAAAGAGATCATAAATAAAAAAATTAAGTTAGGAAATCAATGCTCTGTATATGCACAAGTACAAATGCAAAAATGACCCAACATGTGAGTGTGATGGGGTCACTCCAGAAACAGTTATTTATTGTCTTTTGGAAGTGCCCCATCCACCAGACAGAAAGATGGAACCTGCAACAAGAAATCAATATGGACATTAAATCGGAAAACCTCGAGGACCTGATTTTAGTTAGACCCGACGAGTTTTTCCGATTTGCACGTAGAATAATTAAAAAACTAATTACTTAAAATAAGCTAAAAATGTTAAACGTAGTATTTAAGATTATATGTGATTATATTAAGTTAAAACTGTAAGAAAAAAAATTTAACCAGAAAAAAGAAAAACCTGTCTATGTATGTAAGCATTAATTTAAGTCAATTAATAGTGTAATAATAAGTGTAAGAAAACTGTTTAAAAAAAATTGATTAAAATGGTATGAATAAATAAGAATTGGAAAATAGAGAGAAAAATTGTTAAATAGGATAAGTGATATGTAAAATAAAGATTAAAATGTTGATGTCATTAATAAAACGCTAAACAAAGGCTCTTTCGCTAATGAAAGAGGTAGACGTAGCTTAGCTTCCTCGGCCCCGGGGCACACGTCGCCGGGGAGGTAGGCCAACTAAAAAAAAAAAGTGATGTAGCGTGCAGCGTTGTAACTCTCATATAGTATGTATATCAGTAATAGTTTTTGAATTAATGTTATTAGTGATTTTTGAATGATATTTAACAATTAATTTTGTGTCAGCCTACAATGTGGTATAAATGATAGATATAAATATAGCAATCTCGCGAGTGCTTCTACTTGCAGTTTGCTATGAACTGATATAAGTATATATTATTAACTATCAGCTACTTTCTATAATTTTATTAAATTTACACATACAAATCTACAACGTATGTTAACACCTATATTATTATCATGACAAGAACGAAATAGCATGACTTACATCTTTGACATAACGTCAAACTGACATCAACACTTCATCTTATCAACTTTTGAATTTGGAAAAAGAATAAACAAAGTTCAGTGGTTATAATTATTATAGTTTATAACATCGCTTTTCTGTTACCTATCAGTGGTAGCTTAAAATAGTTTATCAGTCATAAAAACCTTATCGATAAACATCGTTGTTATGTGGAGAAAATTACTGCATTGTTATTCTGTTAAAAAAATTACTAAAGTGGCGGTACTGTTGAGTCCTAAGTGCAATTTATCCAGTGGGTTTCAAAATTTAATTAATATGCCAAAGCTCTACAAAAGGGACGAAAGCCCTCCAGCCAGGACTGTTATGGTTGTCGCTCATATTCTAGGACTTTCTTATGAACCTCACGATTTGAATCCAGTTTTTCGAGATCAAGATACGCCTGAAATGGTCAAGGTACGTTAAGATAAGCCGGCTAAGACCTTTGAGACTACGAATGCCAGAGATATCTATATTACTTTGAGAGGTGTTATTGTAAATTATATATTTTTTATAATTTTATCGGGTAAGACTGGGTAGTCACATAAAATAGATTTAATAGTTTTGCTAACATTTAAAGCGATGTTTTCAGAAAAATCCAATGAAAACCATACCAACATGGGAAGAAGATGATTTCTGCTTAGCAGACAGGTAAATATATTTAGGAATGATTGAATTGTAAAGAGATGATTTATAATTTACAATCAATAAAGTAATTAAAAAAAATTTCGACTCGGGCACATAGACTTGAACCAACCGCGTCAGCTTTCCGTGCTGTTGCTCTACCAATTGAGCTACCGAGTCATCAATAAAGTAATAAATAAATAGGGTCTTATTATATGTACAAGCTAGAATTATAGGATATAATAACATAATTAAGTTAAATCATGGAAATATTAAAATCAAAACTTGAAATATACCAGCAATGGCTCAGCTATTCCAACTGAGTTTTAGAGATATTTTCAACCTTTGAAATATAATATAAATTATAGGATTTTGTTTCAGCCATGCCATAATTATGTATATGTTAGAAAAGTATGGCAAGCCAGAACATGAATATCTCTACCCTAAGGATCAGAAGAAACGAGCTACAATTCATCAAAGATTATTCTTCGACTGTGGTATTTTATTCCCAAGATTGAGAGCAATAATGGTAGGTATATATCTGCTTTCTCAATGATAACTTAATAGGCATTTGAAATCATTGTTAAATGCAAATTCTATGTTTACTGATGAGCTTGTTAGTCTAACAATCAAGGGATGTGGGTATAATTTTTCACAGATCACGAACTATGATCCTGACATAAAAAGCCATGAATTTAATTGCATTTCAGCTACGTCTGTGCATTGCAAATGTCTAGAAACAAATAGGGTGACAGAACACTCTCTTGCTATGTTATATGGCCGAGGGATTTCACCTTCTATCAAGTGAACTCCAAGCTTGTCTGTCCAAGAGGGTCAAACACGATAGCAGGAACTGAATATTTCTGGTCTGCCAAAGCACAGAAATCTTATCAACTACATGCCCATAAAATTATCACTCAATAAAAAATACTTCATAGGGTCTATAAATAAAATATAATCTGTGATCATTATTTTTTTCACTTCTGTGAAGTTATTTCTTTTCACATCAGTTGCAAACTTATGTTTTTTTATGACATACTAGGCGTTCTCTTGATGATAGGTAAAATACCATAGCCATAAATGGCTATATATTATGATATTTTAATATCAAAAAAAGCTGTGACATCGACCTATTTTGGCTTTGGATACTGGGAAATCCAAAGATTGAAACTGAAAATGATTAAACTAAACGGCTTCTACATTTGTGGACAGTAGGTAGACTCGGACAGAACTTCGATATTCGTACCATCCATTTAATATCCAGATTCAGATCCAGTCTAACAGATTTCAGAATAATTATAAATTGGTGGGGACCGAACCCGTCGATTATTAGCCATATAAATAAATATTATTAGTTGTTTTTCTTATTAAAACCCTTATTTCCGCAGGCTCCAACATACATGGGAACACTGACAGAATTATCGAAATCAAAAATCACAAATCTTGAAAGTGCATATGAGGTTCTGGAAAATTACCTTCAAGAAAATCTATATCTAGCAGATGACAACATCACACTAGCAGACATAAGCATATTTACAACAATGTCATCTTTGTATGGAATATATCCCATCGATGTTACTAGGTAATCTGTTTTTTTTTAGCACGTTAGAGTAGTTGCCATTGTAATTTAAAAAAATCAAGCATCATGTAAATACTACACTTCTAAAATTAAACTCAGATTTTCTTAAGTTCCTACACAATAGTAACACAATTTTATCAAACTAACTCTATCTTATTGTTATTATCATGGTGTGGATTACAAACTCAAATGTTGATAATTTTTCAAACATATAATTTTCAGATTTCCAAAGTTAAAAGCATGGTGTGACACAATGAGTGAACAAGACTATAATAAAAAAATTAACGAACTTGGCGCAAAAGAACATGCTGATGGTATTCTAGCAATCATGAATTATAATAAGAAAAAGCAAATGGCCAAATTGTAGTGGTAAACGGCATAGACTTGGGACCACACTCGTTTATATAAGCAAATTATTATTATATGTATATCTTTTATACATTTTCTTTAATATATAACTGGTTTTGGTTACATGTTATGTGTTTTAGTATATTCCTATAATGGTTGCTAACATAACACCATTTCAGGTCTGTAGTAAATCAAACGAAAAAGTACGAATCACAGTTTTTTTTATTTCATAACTAAATAGAAATGCAAAGAACTTTACACTTCACACTCCATTAACATCTAGATCTACACGTATGGATAACTTTACGAGAGAAATTAATGATTATAAAAATGTTATACGGTAAAGATTGTCTATAAGTCTTGTGAGTCTCTCGCTGCACTTCCGTCCATAGCACTTACATCGTTACACATAATTACGTTAAGTCCACATTCAGTCATACACAACGCAGTGGATTACAACCTGCGCTCAATTAAACGTAATGGAATCGAATACTATTCACTTTCAGATTCAGTGCTAGTTCAACGTATGATACGCAACAGTCTTGTTTTATAGTACGCGTCACATTTAACCGTCCTCTTTTGGCGGTGTGAACCAACCTGGAAATTGTAAAAAAAGCATTAATATAATTCAAGTAGCTTGTAAATATTACCCTGATATGTAAACTAAGTAAATAATAATTAATGGACAGTACACAGAGCATTAATTGCACTCACTAGCTTTTATGAGAAAACTAATTATCTATTGGGGGACACCAAAAGAAGGCCTGGGGACATTATCTGCTGTAAAAAGGTAAAAAGTAAGTAAGTATTTTCCTCATTTCCAATTTTTCCTTTCTTTGATGATTCATATCATTAGGTAAAATAATACAAGTCATCACAAATAACGGGGAAAGGATATGGAATCACTAGGAGGATGAATTGATTGAATACTATTATTGCTCCTGAATCTACATTTATTAGAAAATGTATGGTTTGTTTATATACTAACCATTTTTCTCATGTATTTGCACGAGGCACTTGAAGCTTTGCTGCGCGCGCGCAAGGCTGTATTGCGATTGAGATACGACTTTCGTCGCGCCAAACTGAATCCGCGCCTTGCCCTTAACTAAAGTTGCGGCTATTTGCATTATAACCGCTTCCACTGTGTACGCTGACGACCAACCCTGTTTCGTTAAAAGTTCCATGCATATTGCGCCACCCACCAGCACATAGCCTCCTGGAATTAAGGAATAAAAATCATTAAAACTTTTATCATGGATTATACCAACTAAAAGCCGAGATGGGTACGTATCGACTATTGTTTTCACTTTTGGGCTGTGTCTGATATACAATGTCAATATTTACAGAAGAGAAAATAAACCAGACACAGATTCACAAACATGCTAAATCTGGTGCAAGTCATGTGAGAATCGTTAAGTCATGAGAGAGTGTAAATTGCATAATTAATTTTAACAAGTACTGCGTTTAGTAAAAACCAAGTCTTTTCCATTTATGCAAAAAAATTACATACCAGATATAATAGGATAGACCACCCTTACAAACGGCGGCTCAAAGGGATATGTCTCTTTAAACATGATATTGAGTAGTATGGAGTCCTTTCCTTCCTTTTCCTTTAAAACTAGCAGATCATTGTGCAATGGACTATCAGGGTCCACAGAACGCAGTCTTATGTTCCATTCGTATAGAGAATCATTTACCAGTTCTGGAATAAAGTAAAATATTCACATTTAGATATTTAAGTTTCACATAAATATACATAATTAAATACTAAAACACAATGGGGCAGACACATTTTTATAAGTCTGCATGAAAGTAATGGAGTTTCACTTCCCATATATCTTTACTATCACAATGCTAAGATAAAAGATGATAAAAATAAAAAGGTTTCAATAAAGCATTGCAGCCGCCGTATTAATAAATAATGGCAACTCCAAAGCATCCGAAACGTCGGCCTGTATTAAAAGTAATATTAACATAAGCTTAATTAATATATATTGTGTTTTATTTAAATGTGTACTACTGGCGAACTACAGACAGTATAAAAAAAGTTGACTTAACCTACATGTTATTTACTTAAAACATAAGTGTTCATTTACCTATAGAATACATATTGCTTTTAAATGAGTGTGAGCGATAAATATCTCTTAATTCCTTCATTAATCTGTCCGTGGCCTGAAGACTGCCGGAAACACTTCCAGACAGGTAATCTTGCCGTTGGTTCTGTCTCAATCTCTCTAAAGTTGCTAGGTGTTCTGTTTCCATATCATCCTGTAATTGTTATTAAAGATAAATCAATGATAAATACCGCTCAATATCTACAAGAATTCTGATTAGCAACACTACCAAGCAAGAATACTAGGATATTAGTAGTAGTAGGGGTGTTTGTATGAATTTAAACCTTCAAGATTTAAGTATACATATATCCTTTTACATATTAAAATATATACCTTGTTACTTCTGGCAGCATCCTCAACCATTTCAAGTGGCAAGTCGTCTTCTCCCTCTGAGTCATCCTCCTCAGCGGCCATGTCTTCATCTTCCTCTGTACCGGATTCTGCGCCGTTTGATGTTACACTTGGAACTCTGAAATGATCAATTGCATAATTATTACCATAGTAAATGTGACAAGTGTTGTCACTAGTACTAGTACATAAGTAGTACACCTAAAGAAAACAAGTGATGGTTTACAACGCCAGACATTAACTTATTTATGACGATGAACCGACGGGTCCCCTTGATCGCAGCTGTTGCAGATAACAGGGTGGCCTTTGCTTTTAATTCCTTATATTTTGATTTGCAAGTTTTTGAGTTGGTGGCCAATTCTTAAGCACTACCAAGACAAATTAATATCTCTTTGGCAGCTTTGTGACGAAAAGGAATAGAGACATGACTTATTCATTCAAGACCTTTATACTATCATGACAATTAATATAATATATATTGATAGCAAAAATGGTTTCTAGCATTTTATTTTATGTTTCAAGTATTTAAAGAGATAATACGCCCGCGCCGTACGGAAACAGAATCGCAAGTGTTTACTATTGATTACGTTTCAATGTATACCAAACCACCGAACGAACAATACATATTTACATGCGATAAAACCCGAGACGTAATACATTTCAGCTTTGTTAATCAAGCATGTTAAGAGAATTCATTTCATTTTAACAGCTTGTATACCAAAGATAATTATTTATATTACAAGATTAGTCGACTAAAGCTAAGTAAATATATTGTTTATTTAAACTCAAAGAACTGGTAGACAACCTTGAATAATAATAGAAAGTCGATTATTTTTCTGCAGACTACAAAAGAGTCACTCATATTGATTAGTATATGGACAATGGACTATTTTGGTGTGTATTTTCGTCTAGTCATCAGTTAATTACATACAATACAAGTTAATAATTTGACATCACATATATATAGAATAACAAGAAAGAAATATGTGTAAGACAAATAGGTCATTAACCCTTTCTTTACTGATGGTGTGAATGCCTAATGCACGCCCACGTCGGGCAATAGTGACATAGGTAGTATGATAAATCGTATAGCCTACCAGAACCACTAAACACACCACCAGCCCTCTATCAGGAGTCCTGAGGTTATTAACTCTAGAATAGTTGATTGGAAATACAAGCCCTTCTCTACTCAATCAATATCATTTCAAGTATTGTTTGTAGTTTACATGAGTAGTAATCATTTCAGTTAAACACTTAACCATTTAAAACGCAAAATATATTAGTTAAATAATTTTTAGTTCATTTTGAACCATTAAGTACAATATTATTTCATTCGAGCTCTTAAGTACTTAGAGGATTTAAACTGAGGATCTTGCAATATTAGAAATTTTTCACTGTGCTATGACAAATTTAGGCATGATGAAATTGAAATCAAAAATAAATACAGTACTAAAACAAACCTCTGCTGTGGTGCTGGGTGGACGGGCAATGAAAGTGAATCCAAATCAGGTGGTTCTGGTACACCATGTAACTTGCATAGTTCTCTCAATAATATACCCACCTAAAATGAATAAATAATAAATATCATTTTGAAATACAACTACATATCAAAATGACTTTAGTATAAAATAAAAAATCTATAGTAAATAATTGCATTTTATATAGATGTGTCTAACAAAGTGTTTAACAACTAAACCATAAAATCCTTCCAGATTTGATTGCCAGCATAATTAAAATGTGTTCTATAATTATTTGTTCATTATCTCACATTTTCAATATACTTTTTGATAAATAACGTTGTTGAGTAGAGATTAGCATAGGTCAACAAACTCATGAAAAAAAGTAAACATGAACTTGACATTATTAGATTTGGTTATAAGATGATAGCTGTGTAAATAACACTTAGCACTCTACCTTAAAATCTATATAACTAAATAATTACTGTTTTTGATGTCTATTTAAGGTGTAATTAAATCTATATTCTCTCTAATTACATACCTGATTAATAACATGATTATCTCTTCCCTGTGTGTTAGTTAGTATCTGAACAGCATTTGTCACTATCAGGTCTTCACTCTCGGCAAACCACACTGGCGGGGTCGTAGGGTATGTTTCCTAAAAACAATTAAATTGTGTTAGCAATGTTTTTATTTAATACACCAAAACAATCAGAAATATTGTTTTCCTTATGTTTGAATGCACCATTGGTAATTCAAAATGGAATCGGTGGACCCTAAGCGTCAAAGGAAGGAGTTATCTAAAGAGTATATAAGAGCAAAAGACATGTTTATTTTAATGCCAGTTAGGAAAAAATACCACATTCTGCCTTTATTATTATTAGTTCCATGAGCTTGAACAGTTGTTTAGCTATATATTATTATACTAATATAGTAAAACACAGGCAAGTTTATTTTCCTGACATATCCTAGCAGTAACCAAGAATAGCTACAGCTCACAGGCTTTACTTAAATTTGACAAAAAACAGGTACAAAACATGACTAAGAGCCTTTGTCCAATATTCGCATTAATACCGTTACACTAACAAAGTGTTTACCCTCGATAAATGTAGCTGTAACTAGTTATAAACAGAGACCAGCGCACTGAAACTTGAATGATCGATACAATGATTCGTCATGGGCCCGTAAAACATTATTTAAGTATGTCGATCGAAACCTGCGCGCATTGCACCAAACTTGCATCACACGACTACTCAGCATACATCGCTGCATAAAACCATTAAGTTTAAACATGTTTCAACAACGTGCACGCAAAATAATGGTTATACTCATCTGGAAAGTAATCACTTCCGTAAATCTTTTGTTGACAGCCCTGCCCTCATAAACAACGACCCTTTGTCACAAAGATAATCAATAAACGCATTCAATATTAATAAAACACTAATAAAGTGTACGTCTCTACATATTAAGACAATTAAGCATTTACTTACTGTGATATTTGCGTGAATTTCATATTTCTTTCCATTTTTGCCAACGAATCTGCAGGTCAGTTCGTCGACACTAGCTGACATTATCTGAAACCGCTCATGATTTTTGGGAAACACTTGTTCTAAGGTTTTTATTTCTAATTTAAGAGTATTTAAGCAAGCCATTAGTGTATTGAAACACTAATATTTTAAATTCTATAACTAATCACCACATTAGAACACATAGGAGCTGTTTTACGTTCACTCCCGAAGAAGCAAAATGGCGGAGGCAATAGCCATTGACCAATGGCGCCTTGCCGCTGGCGGCATGTAGCTTGAAATCAAAATATCGACGTTAGAGGGCGGTATAATAGAAACACACATTTCAAGTTTATAGTCTTGTTTCTAATTGTTTTGTAACTATTCTGTAGACACTTTATTTTTGACAGTACGTAGGACTATGTCACTCATATATAATTATACACACCATATCTGTGGTACATTATAAGCTGTCACAAATGTCACGTTCAATTACTCTCAAGTGACTTTATGTTTAAACTTTAGCTACTAAATAAAACAAACAATTTTATTGCAACATAACACACAAACACATTAATATTTTGTTTGAATATGCCATCTATTCTCGTAGTTTTCAGTTCCAAATCTAAATACTAACCTTTTAAATTAATTGTTATAATACAGATATTTAAAGATGGACCGTCGGTCCAAAGAATCCAGGTATAAGCGTAATCATTCCCGCTCTCCCGCTAGAGTACATAAAAGGAAAAGATCTTACGAAAGTCCACCAAAAGTTCCAGAAAACACAGATACAGATTCTTTTAGTTTCTTAGACTATAAATGGAATCTTAATAAAATAATTATGTACAGCAGCGATACTAACACTGTAGCAAATAGCATTGAAGACTTTTGGGTATTTGTTAAGAAGTATGAAGCTACTCTAAGGAAAGCTCATAAACCATTGTTGGTTTATGAAACTGAAGACAGCCAGCGAAATGAACTAGGCATTTCAAAATCCTTTTCCAAAGTGGATTGTATAAATTTCACAGCTAAAATAAAGTATATGGACACAGTTTATGATGAAAGAGATAGGCGGCAGCTTGATGAGAAAAAGTTTAAAATATTTTTGAATATTATCTCTATTTATATAGATTTTAAAAATAAAGAAAAGTTTGAAAAACTGAAAAAGTTAAGAAAAGCTCAAAGTGACTTACCAGTTGCTAAATACAGGTAAAGATTAATTAGAAAATTAATAAGTGTTGTAAAAATAAGTATTGTTACAAATATAACTTTCTTTACAGAGATGAAATAATAACAGCTGTGAAAAATGAGAAAGTGGTTGTAGTGGCTGGTGACACTGGTTGTGGTAAATCTACACAAGTGCCGCAGTATCTGCATGAAGCAGGCTTTCAAAATATTGGTAAGAATTAAGGTTACTTATTTTTTTTTAAAGTAAGACACTACTAAACTAACCATTTAAACTGTGAAATTAAGTATGTAATAAGAATTCATAATTAATTTTGAAATATTTGTATATTTTCAAGCATGTACACAACCAAGAAGAATTGCCTGCATTTCACTATCAAAACGGGTTGCATATGAAATGCTTTCGCAGTTTGAAACAAAAGTAGGCTACCAGATAAGATTTGAGAAGAACAAAACTGCAGACACTAGCATTTGTTTCATCACAGAAGGTTTGTTATTAAGACAGGTAAGCCTACATCATAACCAGTAAAATAAAATTGCTAATAAATAAAATATTGATTTACATTGATAAAAGCGGCCTCTGTGCAACTAAAATGCGTTTAGTTTGTTTGTTAATAGATGGCAGTGCTCTTAATCTTAGTTACGTTAATTGAGTCATTAGATGGCGCTGTCTTGCGCAGCTCTATTTGTAAATCGCGCTATAGAAGTCACATAGTATTTGTACTTATGCTCGTTTAAACTATTCCTAAGCATACTTACCTGGCGTAGGGGATACCGTGATCAGGAAGGCGGTTCCCCCAGAGCGAGACTCCTCCATTGCACTGCGGTTGAGTTGACCTCTGCGATTATCCCTAATGTGGATAACTCGGACGCGTAATTTTTGGTAGTGGGGACTGCGTACGCGCCGTCCCCCTTAAAATTAAATACATATATTATATTAATACATGTAGGTAGGCATGTTTATCACTTATTTACATCTTGCTGGTGTGTGCGATTCAGTGGAGAATTAAGTACATACAATTAATATGTCACTTCATAATTCGATTCCAAAAAGAAACACTAAAATATAATCGCAGATTTCCCACTCTTGTAAAATAGAGCAATTGAAATCCTGTAAAGCAAACAAACTTGACTGACGGGCTTTTTGATCTAATGTTAGCATGTATAGATTATAATCAACGGGTCGTGGGTTCGCTCCCCACTGGGACCGAACAATAAAACATATATTCAATTAAATGGGTGGTAGATAAATCGAAATTCCAACCCGATCACGAACTACAAATTAAATAGCTATGAAATTTAATCGCGTTTCGTTTTCAATCCGTGTATGTTCGAATTTACATAGCCAAAAAAGCTCGACAGTTCTGCTTAGATTTTATATGGCTGAAGTATTTCACCTTTCATCCATCTATCTATACGTGGATGCTTGTCTGTCCTCCTCTATCTCTAACGGACAGTGTCTACACTAAAGACGACTCCTAAAAAAAACCGTTGTTATATTGCAGATGTCGTCAGAAAACTTACCTAATTACGATGTGATTATTCTTGATGAAATTCATGAGAGGCACTTAATGGGAGACTTCTTGCTAGGAGTGCTAAAATGTTTGATTCACGCTCGAAACGATATAAAGCTCGTTTTGATGTCCGCTACCATCAATATTAAGCTCTTTGAAGATTATTTCAGTGCGGAGTCGGCGGCTGTTATACAGGTGAGTATAAAGAAAAGTCAAAATATATTGACAGCGTATCTTGTTTAGTTATTATATGGCTGGGTTTTTTCATCTACCATCAAGCGAAACCCATGCTTATCGGTTCTCCTCTATAAATAAAAATTCAATATCTGCTCGATTAAGTGTTCGCAAAATTCCTTACTCTGTCTAGTTAAACAAAAGTAGGCACACAAGTATTTATGGTATTTATTTTAAAAGCAGATGGAAATTTGTGTAAATTTCAACTGTTTAGCTAGTTACAGTTTCAAATCATTAATGTTTAAAAGTGACTTTTTTGAATTTGAATATCATTGTGTTTATTTCTTTTCATCTATTCCACTTTTCATACCCTTTTTTCAGGTCCCTGGTAGACTGTTTCCCATAGAACTACACTACAAACCTGTATTAATAGATGACAAACCTTCAAGAGACGACCGTCTCGATCCTCAGCCTTATGTACAAATTATGGCTATGATCGACAATAAGTATCCAAGTAAGAATATTGTACGTGTTTCTAGCTCTTCTACTTTGTTCTAGGACCTTGATTTTAAAATTATTTTATTTGGATGATATATTGTGTTTGAAGAAATTATTCGAGAAACATTTTACTAATTATGTATTTTTTGGATCTAATTCATTTGAAATTTCTAATATTAACTTTAAAATATCATTTCAGTTGATGAGAGAGGTGACCTCCTCATATTCATGTCGGGAGTTCAAGAGATAACTGCGATTTGTGATGCAGCACAGCAGTATGCCGAAAAGAACAAAAATTGGATAGTGTTGCCATTACACAGCGGCCTGTCTTTAATTGAACAGGATAAGGTAATATTTTGAGAAACAAAATGTATTGATCTTTCATAACATTTATTTTTGATACTTTACCGGAAGACCAACTGAATCTAATTTGTGGGAACCAGATCAGAAAGCCCTTTCTAGCTGTGAAAAATATTAATGTCGAAAAATAACTAAAAATCTTCCTCCTCGCCATTCAACGTCTAAATAGATGTAATTCGATACTTTTTTGCTCGATCGTAGTTGAGTTATGTAATGAATTCCGTGCCCGATCGATCTACTTTTTTTTTGTTTTATAATTTAGTTAGCTTTAATTTTCCGGAAATCCTTACCGAACTTCGGCCAGACGGAACAGACTGAATAAAAGAGCAGTGCTGAGTCTCAATCCCGAGGTGTCACAAAATTTTTGTTTTATGAATTTAGCTTTCAGTCTGCTCTTTTTTTTTGTGGCAGTAAACAAAAATTTTCTTTATTTTTGTATATACTGAGACACCAAAGTGGTCCACACCTGCTTCCAAATATTTCGAGTAAACATTTTCTTTGTATTTTTTTCCAGTAGAAGTGATATTCATCTACGCTAATAACTATGGTATATATTACATTTTTATTATTTTCTATATAAGGTTTTCGACTACCCTCCGGATGGTGTCAGGAAGTGCATAGTGTCTACGAATATAGCTGAAACATCAGTCACCATTGACGGAATAAGATTTGTCGTCGATTCGGGAAAGGTAAGAGATATATTTTTATCTGAAGATACTTTAAACACATCTTCAGATTTATTAATACTTTACGCGAGTAGTGCCATAAATGAAACCATTTTAACGGTTCACAATGCGAAGTTTATAAGTTGATTTACATGTTTTGCTAGTTATTTATTTGGGTGGTTAAATAGTCGAGTAATATTGGCGTTTTAACTTATCTTTAACGTATTAAACTCTTGAAAGTGATCTAGTTAAATTTATTAATTTTACTAAGTACTGTCTTGGCTCATTAAAAAAATTTTTGCACATATCTGACATAAAACACAGAAAAATCCCTATAATGCAAATTAACTTACGTATGTACATTATAGCATAAGTATATTTAAAAGTCGTCAGTACACCCGAATTCGATTTAATATAGTTAGTGAACGTTCGTTTGTCTAATCTCACATTTAAGGAAAAGTTTTTACGAAAAAATATATTACATTACATCCATTTAACACAGAAACTAATAAATCGTACCTTATATTTTTGTAACAGGTAAAAGAAATGAGTTATGATTCGTCAACAAAAATGCAAAGGCTTAAAGAGTTCTGGATATCGAAAGCAAGCGCTGATCAGAGGAAGGGGAGAGCTGGGAGAACTGGTAATATTCTTATTAATAAACGTGACTATTCATTTATGTGACAGAGTTGTTCATAGTATCTTAATGCGAAATATAACAATAAAAATCGCATCTAAAAATAAATGAAGTCTAAGACTAAGATTTAATTATTACTATCACTTGGTTAAGAGAATAGGTACGGGAACTAGATGTATTTGCATTTACACAATTCAGATTTAAATTAATTTATTAAATAAAAAAAAATGAAATTATTATAATTATGAATGACTGCGGTTATTGTTTGCTTTCTATATAGCTTGTGAATTTGCTTCCTCCTGTGGCACCTCCACAATTCTGTGTCTGTTTTAATGGTCGGTTATATTTAAAGTCGAATAAACGACCAGTCTTCCATACTCTACTTAACCGACTCAAAATTATTCAAACCCAGGATCTATTTTTTTATGATAAAGGATAAGTGGAGTTCATTTGTTGGCAGGCAAAATACCATATAACATGGAAATACCTCGTGTTTGATATAATTATAGGCAACATGTTTAACTATATAGGTAGCTCTCTACCTACAAACTATCCACAACTTAAACATTTTTTTTTTGGTCCCTCACTTAAACTAGATTTTTATTTTAGTATTTAATACTACTATCACTACTATTTCACCTTTACAGGCCCCGGTGTCTGTTACCGTGTATACTCCGAGCAGCAATATGCTGACATGGACGCGTTCAGTACTCCTGAAGTTTCGAGAGTTCCTCTCGCCTCGCTCCTGCTGCTCATGAGCTCGTTGGGGGTAAATGATGTCAGACGCTTCCCCTTCATAGATTCACCTCCAGAAGACGCCATAGAGAACGCCCTACTGGAGTTGAAACAGCATGTATGTATAAGGAGGAATAACAAATTGTTAAATTTTTCGTGAGAACTAGTAGTTAAGTACTTGTTACGCCATCACGCACGTATGGCTGATATCATATTGAAATAGAATACTTTTGACAGCTTCAAATGACCCGTTTTGATTTGGCAGCGGACACGGGGGGGATATCATCGGGTCATAGTTAAACATTGTATTTCCCGTTATTCATTTACTTGTATTAACTATCAAGTAAATGAGTAGAAGAGACAATGATTATGTAAAAAAAAATCCCTAGAAAATGTTTTATTATATATGAATTTTTATAGTATAGGTACTGTCATATCATAAATTTCTAGTATTCAATAATTAATTTATATTATCTATGATTAGTGATAAAACAATAGCTTACTATGTATTACTAAATACTACAAAAAAAAAATTTCAACTTCAGGGAGCCCTAACCTCAAACGAGAAACTAACAGCTTTGGGCAAAGCCTTAGCCAACATTCCAGTAGAAGTTTCGCTGGCTAAAGCTCTCGTGGTGGGGAGTGCAACATTACCACCACATAAGTTGGATTCAGCGCTTGCATTAACCGCGGCTTTGGGAATCCGGTCTATTTATACAACTCGGGCGCATAGAGATTTTGAATGTGAGGTAAATACAGTCGCTAAAACAAATCTTAAATATTTACTAATTTATAAAGCTAAAGAGTTTGTTTGTTTTCTGTTTGAACACGCTTATCTCAGGAACTACTGATACCAATTGAATTTCTTTTTTTGTGTTGGTTAGAGACTTTATTAAGGGAAGGTTTTGGCTATAAAACATCAGGCTGCGACAAATAGAAGCGAAGTAACAGAAAAGGGAGGTAACATCTTTAAGGGTTTCCGTTATGTGCGGTACGAAAAATATGTATAATATAATTATCATTCTTTAAATAATCTAAAAAGATGTATAAATTTATAATAATATTTTTAAATTTCATTTATTCTTTCTTCAAATTTTTTAATTTACTCACAAGAACCGTTTTTATAGGGATCAAATACTTCATATGGCATAGAAATGTTTGCCAAGTCAGCTAGTGATTAAATAAAAAAGCTAGACCTGGACGCAACGCGAAATATATTCGATTTTGTGATAAAAAACGATCCGCAAACCAAAAAACAGTGGACCTCATACTTGCCCCCTTCTCTTTCTTGAAAAAACCTTTAAGCCTTCACAGATTTCAGATATATCTTATCTTTTAAATAAAACGCTTTAACGGTTTAAAACGCGATACATTAGTTAAACTTATTTGAATGTCTCCCCGTGACCACGGCTGCTGCAAAGCAGGCGAAACGTCGGGCCGAAGTTAAAAATCATTTCAAATAAGTTTAAACCAATATATCGCGTTTTAAACCGTTAAAGTGTTTTATTTAAATGTGTACTACTCCCGTAAATTATAGACAGTGTATCTTATCCTTTCAGAATGCCAGAAAACCTGACGAATCAGATCACGGGGATCCCATAACCCTCGTATCTCTGTACTGTGCGTGGCTGAAGGAGAAATCTAAAGGTGGAGGTCGAGCCTGGTGCAGACGACGTGGTGTAGAAGAACAGAGGCTATATGAAATGACTAAACTTGCCGCTCAGTTGAAGGGGTTGTTACAGGTAATTTTATGGAAACAGGATACGTGTATTAAGTGGGGCTTGGGGCGAACATACTTCTGTGTCTGTTTACTTATCAATTGTATTTACAGGAAAGTAGTTGATAAAAATTTCACGGGGCGACTAAAGATGGAGGGTGTCTCTGACGTCAAAGTAAAAAACCCGTGACCACGGTTGTGCAAAGCATCCGGAACGTCGGGCCGTTTAATTAGAATAATCGTCGTTTTAAACCAAAGTGTTAATAAAAAAATCATCGAATTTTAAACCTTTAAAGTGACATTTACAAAGATCTTACATCTAACATAAATCGGATAGTTTTTATGTAGGTTAATGGTATATTTAAGATACTGTAAAAGAAAAATGATTTCCAGGATGCCAATCTAATGGATGCACCCGAGACAGAATCCATGTCGTCATCAGAAAGAGCCATGCGTCATGGTCAGATGAAGCAGTTAAAAGACATGCGAAGGTGACAATCGTTTGAGAACTATGACGTCATAACTCTACTTAAGATATATTGTTTTTAAACCAAATTTTTGAGGAAGTATAAATATTGTTTATTTGTTTTTACTATTGTTAAAGTCAAAAGTCAATACTGTGTGTTTTTCTATTTACAGACAATGCAAACAAAAGGCAGCGGAGGAGTCGAAACGACGAAAACGTCTGAAGGTCGACTCTTGGGAGATAGTTGATGAAAAGGCTGATGATGATAACGTAATGGACATCAGGGACATCGAGTTTCGATTGAGCAACGACGCGAATCGGATACAGGCTTTGATCAACGGTTCTAGCGCGTCCAGTGGGCGCGACTTGGCTATGTTGAAGGTAATTGAAATTTACGATTTTTTCATTTCATACTTTGGTACACAAGGATCAAATAAAACTTAAGTATGTGAAAATGGCTGACATATAACGGTAAACGATGCAAATCGAATTAAAAAAGCAGATATAATTTAATAAATTAGAAATAATAGGAAATTAAAACAACAAAAAAAACTTTACACACAAACTCTACAAAGTTTAATTCATTAAATCGTTTTTTTTTTACATAAAATCTTAAATTAGTGCGAAGTATCGAAAAAGGTCGGTTTATATAGGATGAAGTTATGCGCAAAAAAAATATAAAAACTTATGTACGAATCGATTTGAGAACCTCTATTTTATGCAGTCGGTTAAAACTATAGTATACAACTAGTAGTAGGGTAGAATAAAACTCAACCGCATTACTGTTTCTAGATAATTTGGCCTATCTCTCTCATTCTCTAAGTATAAAAATGACAAGTATTTTTCTGTTTAATCCTTATAACCCAACGTAGCCTTATCTTCTTATTTTTTGCAGATTGTGTTGTGTCGGGCGTTGTATCCTCAAATAGCCGTAGCAGACGAATTCAATCATTGCAAGGTGAACAATCATTTATTTTGTTTATACTTTTCTTCACAGCGTTTGAAGTGCCGTTTGCAGAAAATCTTACTCATTATAATCCCGTTTAAGGTGTTAAACGAAAAGACGACCTTCCTAACGAAATCCAACATGTTTCAGAACAATTATAAATGTACTCGGTGATCGAACCCGACCCTTTGGTTATTAGCCATGCATTAAAATTGTGGTTATTTTTTTTTAATATTTCTTATTGATTTGTCAGTCAGTTTCTGAACAACTATACCATACGTGGAGTAAGCCCTTCGTGTTTCTCCATCCCACATCATTCTTCGGCAAGCATGGCCGCGTGCTACAGCTATGCGATGAGGATATACAGACAGATCCACCCCCCGGATACAAAAGCAAATTGCCGTTATCGTCTAGACATCAGATTTTGTCTTACCTGTTAGTACTTGACTGTTTTTAATTTTCACATAGGCGCTTTAAACAATATTCAATAGTTCTGTTAAGTGTTTTCGACAAGGTACGTTGTTTAACTTATTAACACTTATTTAACGAGTTATAATTACCGTTTAGTGGGTTTAGTTGCACAGACGGTACTTTGTTTTTCATTAACCCCAAGTGTTCCCGAGTTCGAAAACCGGAAAAAAAATATGTTTTGTTACGAAATCCCACGTTGCCTACATTAGTGTAACCAGCAGCGGATCCAGTAGGGGTCATGAAGCTGGTTTCACGTGGACCATTAATTGAACAAATATATTTTCTTTACAAATTTAAATTTCTTGACTTGACCACGACTATGTGACCTGGCGCCACAGCTGGTTTCGCCGCTGAGTGTAACAGACACTAAAATATGTTTGTTATTGTGTAAAGACTAAACATGTGAAAGCTTTGTTGGTTGATTGGTTTACACTTGTTTTATAATTTTAGCTATATGAATATTGTTATTGACTTCAATGTGATATTGTGGCTTCAATATTCACATTGTCTAACTAATCTGATCAGCCTAGATTTTCCTAATAGCACAACAATTCGGAAAAAAACAATATTTGTTTTTTTAATTTCAGATCCCTTCTAGAAACGACCAAGCCGTATATAGTGAATTCTATGAGGATGCCGGCTGCGCAGACGCTGCTGTTATTGGCTCACTCGATTGACACTAATTTCGCGTTCACTAGGTAATCCCTTTGAATAATAAAATCTTATTGAACACTTACCATATTAGTTCGGGGTTTGAAACGTCCAAGACACAGAATCCAAGTCTCATGGGCTCAGTGTATGCTTAGGCGAAATAAGATTTATATTAGAATAATTATGGAAACTAAGTATTTGTAATACTTCTGGTAAATCTTGATATTAAATGGGTGGTAGGAATTTGGTACTCCGTCCATGTCAAAAACGGACGTCCACAAATTAAAAAGCCAATCAATATACAGTTTTTATCTGTGGATATCTGAATATCCAAATATCATAGGTCGATAGCGCATCTTGTTTAGACTTTATATATGTAGTGTATAACAGTTTAGACGTATACACCCGAGTTTCGGGTACCAGAGACTGTTGCGTATAACAGTTTGGAAAGTATACGTGAATGTATATAAGATAATTGTAAGATAAATGTTAAGATTAAGATAAGTTTACGAGGGAGGCGAAGGTAACCAAACCCAATGAGTGCTGTAGTGCAACTGATTTATTTCCTAACAATATTGTTTTAATATAATTTACAAGAAAGTGGAAAATAGGACGCTCACTAATTTTTAAATAAACATAAATCTATTATTGTTTCAGAATAATTTGTGATTCGTGGTTGCTGCTAGAGTTTCCGTATCCAGAAACGGGTTTAAATTTACTCTTCAAAGCCTCGAAAATTAGGCAAAGATGGGAAGGTTTGATTAATCGGCGACTTTTAGGTAATAAACAATCTAGTTAAGGTCTATTGAGGCAAAAACATCATTAACTGACCTAATAAAATAAAAAGGCTGTATATGACGAGAGAATATCATTAGACTACAAAATGTATAAAAATTATTTATGGACGGACTAATTGGGGTATTGCTTTTGCTTAGCACGTTTATCTTAAATCTGCGCATGTATATAAACAGCCTCATATATATTATTAGTGTTAGGACTAATTGTTTTATTAATAAGACACTTTGAGGGCTTAAAACGCGATTTATTAGTCATTTTCTTTAAGTACGGTCACGGGCGTAGATGGAGGGCCGCTAAAATCGAATCTGCTATGCTAGCGCCACCTGTTTCTTCGTAGGTGTTTTCTATATTAAAAACACTAGATCCTAAAAACTGTTAAACGAGAGCACATTGTGTCCGTTCTGTTAGGACTCAGTTTCTCCAAAAATCAACTGTGAAATGAACCGGCCCTATATTCAGTCTCCCCGTAACCACGTCTGCTGCAAAACATCCGTAGCGTCGAAAATAAATTAAAAACTACTTCACACACAATTCTTACTCATTTTTAGTTTAATCATACGTTAATTTACCCATGTACTGAAGTAATATTTTCCAGATGCTAACCCGAATAAATCCGTCGAAAGTGAACTTCATAAAACCAAGCCGAAACTCTCGTACGACGAAATTCAATACGAGCTGTCAAAAGATATGAGCGCATACATGAACTGCGATGTGTATTACACGATAAAACGGCTCTTACCAGCAGATTTGAAGGCTTTGTATAGCTGCGAGGAACAAGCGAATATAGACCCTAATCCGTTCGACAGAGAGTTCATTTGTAAACCGCACGACAGGAAGGGAGGTGTATACGTAACGGATAATATTGTTTTTAATTGGTGAGTTTTTTATCAATTTCGTTGCCTTGAGATTTGAGCCTAGAACTACTAACTTAACTTACTACTTACATTATTACTTAACTAATGCTAAGCACCTCTTTTACCTAAGGGCATCAGGGTTCTCTTAGTTGTTTTATTTTTATTTAGAATAACGTCGTTGGCAGTTTAATTTTAATATCAACCCAATATAAGGTTTAACAGACGGACAATTTTAATCAAGAACACATTTTCTCATGATAAAGGAAGACAAGTTTGTGGTTCTTTTGGCGGAAAGTGAAATATAACATCTAAACAAGATGCGCTGTCGGCCTATTTTGGCTTTGGATATTTGAAAATCTACAGATTGAAACCGTAACACCATTAAACTAACTGCTTTTTCATCTGTGGAGGGTAGCTCCTGACCTGGACGAAATTTCGATATTACTACACTTCCAGAATTCCAGAGGAAGTCCAACATGTTTCAGAAAAATTGTAACTTGATTACGCACGTTGGAACCGGTGGGAATGGCACCCATGACTCGTTGATTGTTCTCCATTAATTGCTACCATTACACTATTAAGTCTTGTTCGTTTTACAGTGTCGTTGATTCTGATTGGAGTTACAACAGCTACCAGGAAGCATATTCCTTACCCTGGACTTGTCCTAACTGCGAGATTTCTCTATGCTTATCACCACTAGAGCGATTGCAACATACGAATTTCACTTGTTCCTCAAAGGAAGAGGAAAAAGAAGTTAAGCCTGTGATAAAGGAAGTTAAACCCAACGGCCGAGAGTATAAGTGCGAGATTTGCAAGGAGACTTTGTATATGACCCCTGTGGAAATATTGAGGCATAAGAAAAGTTGTAAATAAAACGTTTTTCCTTTATGTATATCAATGAATTATTAAGCAAATCAATGTGAAAACTGCCTGTAGTTTAAGCGAATAGTACACATTTAAATAAAACACTTTAACAGTTTATAACGTGACCATGGCTGCTGCAAAGCATCCGAAACTTCGGGCCGTAGTTAAAAATAAGTTTACCTAATATATATGGCGTTGGAAACCGTTAGTGTTTTATTTAAATGTGTACTACTGGCGTATACTACAGACAATATTTAATATTATAGATGTAATTTATTGTTTTAGGGGAACTATTACATTAATTCCGGTTTGCACTTTGGTAGTGCCAGTAAATGTTTAATACCTTTTTAATGTTTTAGAATAGGTAAAGAATAAATTAAACGTATAATTATCAATATTAATTTGAATATTATTTATTTAATGCGTCTTCATTATTTGTACTTCGGTGATTTAACACTTCTCATTGGTGATTTGGTATTGTGTCCCGACGCGACTTCCTCTCCAAAAACAGTCCAGTATCCCACTTCACTTATGCAAAACCGCAATTAGAATTGCTCAGCAGGTCATCACCACGGGTTGATTTCCATCTTTTACATATTATGTCATATATTCTGATCAATATAGTCTCTGACCTTTACATTAGGAACGGTCTTGCTAGGACTATATCTCGGGCTTGAATATGGCGCGACCAATATTTCATATTCCGCGTCATAAATTTCCTCGCCATTGTAGGGAAAGAAACAAACGCAATCCGAATTTGCAACTTTTCCAGGTATTGTATGTTTGTCTCTTTTACACCTTCCTATATACACTGTTGCTGAATCGTACTCCGTGTATCCCGCGGGTAGAGCTCCGCAAGGTATAACGTTTCCTCTAGTTTTAACCCAGGTGCAGTCGTGGCCACAGAGTATCTGTTGAAAAAAATAAGCTTTACCTTAGCTTAACACGTAGCTTAAACCATGATTTTCAAAAAGGAGGAAAATAAAAATGCGCAATTAACTTAGGCGAAATTCAATTTGTACTATTGTTTGTGTAAGAATTATGTTAACAATTTTCGGCCACAGTGCTCTTGTAGATTTTAAGACAATGAAAATATAAATAATTCAAGTCATAAATCGCTCTGCCTCTACAGAATCATTTTTATCGCTCTGGAAGTACATGGTACAATGTACACTCATAAATACTACAAAATTTTTTAAAAAAATTATACAGCTTTTGACAACGAAGCATATAATTTTTGCTATCATTAAGACACTGCGTAAGAAAACACCAGGTTAAAAAAAATAAAAGAATACCTCAAACTTATTTTTCAAATGCATATACCCGCCCCATGATACAAAGCCACATTTAGTCGATGGGACAAACTTTCCTGGAGTCAGCGACCCCTCGTGAGGTGCTCGCATTATATATAGGAATTCATTTTCGTAGCCACCTATTAACGCTCCATAGGGTAACAGCCCATCATATTTTACCCAATACATCTTGCCTCCTTCTATTGGTTTAAGAACGGGTCTTTCAATAAGAGGTGGCGCTGGAAACAATATATTTTATGTATAAAGCGAACACTAAAATACTTCATAGCAAGTTTAATATTGCCGTTATTTAAATTATTGTAGTGTGTTGTATGTGTAATCAAGTTTATAGGCCGATTCACTAACAACAAGGGAAATACATTTAGTAAAATATATATATACACAAGGTCCAAAGCTTTAGGTGTATAGGTACACATAAGGCCTTGGAACAGATTTCAACAAAACTAAGTAAAATTAGTAGATAACAATAAAATCAATGATATAATACATTTTTTATCATGTTTAATCAGAATTCTGAACCTAAATGAGTAAATCAGAATTTAATTATACATAACTGAATTATGTATAGAAAATTGTACAAAAATTCTTCTAGAGCAATTCTCCTATAAAGTTAAAGCAACGATTGTCTGAGACTTCATTGAAAGAGGGAGGCACTTGTTTAAAAAACTTATTTCCAATTTAGAAACAATTGATACTTACATACAAACCTCCATTCTACACTATTTGTATTCTGTTGACTAGCAAATGAGACATATTTCATATTGTTATTGACTATCTCATGGGAAAATATTGGTTCTGTAATACCAGACTTCCCCAATTCCAGTTTATCATACCAGGTTAGCCAGAATTTTTGATATCTATCTTCACTAATAATGTCTGGTGTCTCAACTGCTATAAGAACTTCATGTTCACTGTGAACACTTTGATACTCTGTTACTCCAGTGTGGCCATGTCTGTTTATATATATCTGTAATAAAGTTGATTTAACTATTACATGATGATGCATTTAATTAACTGAGTGTTTGTAATAAAAATGACTATATGAAGCAAATGTTGGGGACATATGCTTCAGTTCTTCCAAAGTCTAAACAAAATAAAAGAATATGGGTACAAATTATCCTTTCTTTGATTTAAAAGGTAAACACTTAGATACCTACCAGGTAGGCTAAACAAGTTTTTGGATATAAAACAGAACTGATTTTGGATTTTTTTTCTGGGACAGACACAGACATATAATGTTGTGAACCTGAAATATACCTCTAAACTCACACACCATCTGACAGAAAAGAAAGACAGACAGAGTTACTGTGAGTAGACCTTGTCTCTCTACAAAGATGCTACCCAATTAATTTAAGTAGTTTTATATTAACTATAATTCATTAAACATTACATTTTAGTTTCTAAAATGTTAAGACCGATTGTTATGGAGGAACACTGTTAACACCCTCTGCCACAGTTAGGGGACACAGACTATTTAGTCAGTTGAGTAAGTCAGTAACATTTTAGTTTATATACCTAAAATGTAGCTGACATACTTGACTAGAAGTAAATTATCATATTTACCCAATGATTTCTATATTTCACTTCGGGCGAATCAGATAGACCAATAACTGCATAACCACTGCCTTTTAGTGAAAATGTTAGGCTATTGTTTGAGAATTTATAAAATTGTCTTCCATTTTTGTGCGCTGTCAGAAATTCTGTGAAAATAAAAATATATTACATTAAACTTTTTATGTTAAATTGTAATACATAATTTAAAAAATATAGAACATCCTATAGTGTTAGTAGTTGAAAAAGTTATTAGGTAAATTTTTTTTTTTTTAATGAAATAAAACAATTTTTACCTACAACTTCACCCATTATATTGTTTGTTCAGTGACTTTCTAGAAAAACATAAGATTGTGGTGGTATAGCAGTGAAGAAAACTTATAACATCCAAAAATAAAATTATAGAAGTCTCTAAAACATTTGTTATAATACAAAAATTTAAGGTATAAATATGATAAAGCATATTACATACCTATATTTAAAAAAAAATTTGCCCACAGTTCTGATTATAAGTATTAATTTCCTTAAAACCGTCATAGGTCATATTGGATAAGGAAAATAAACTAAAAATTCCTATAAGCAAGCAATATGAAATAGTTATACCGCAATACATTTTATCCACTTAAACACATTCATTTTGTACTTTCCTCTATGTTAGTTAATAAGTAAATTATATTACTCAAGAGATAATTTTCTTTGAATTTCTAATATTTGATAATAATTAGTTTGTAAAAGATTGCGGTTGGCTGTCTAAATTGTTTTGACAACGATGCGACGAAAGTTTAACAATTGACACGGTAAGTTAGTCAATCTTTTCGATTATTGATTGATTTATTGTTATTTAATGTGACATATACATCATGGCATAAGTAAGGAAAACACTTTTTTAGGCAAATTCAATTTATTTTAAATGCAAACATCCTGAGAGTTTCTTTTGCGTTCACCCTTTAATAGGCGCAATTAAATATGGCTTTAATTACAACTTAATAATAAAATAACTAGGAATATCATGATTTCAGGGTACAATAATAAGTAGGGTGCCAAAATATATATAAATACAATTTTACTCTAATCCTAATATCGTATTTAAATACTAAATGGAATAAATGTGATTTTTACTAAATGACTAAAAAGAAGTATTTCTGATAGAAATACTTCTTTTTAGTCATAGTGGAGTTGTTTTGTATTTATTTACATTTTATCCAAAGAAAACCTGTTACCATTATATACTAATATTATTAAACTGAAGAATTTGTTTGCTTGAATGCGCACTTTTGGTTAGAATAGAAAATTTCTTATTGTGTTGGTAAGAACATTTATAGAGAAAGGATAAAAGAAGAAATAAGAAATGTATATAAAATATTCATCCTTTTTCATCTTTGGGCTTCCATTGCGTGCGCTGTGAATAGGGTACAAGAAACCAAAAAAATCTCTGATTGAATGATTCCCCTTTTAAATTATCTAAACAAACTTCGGCGACAGTGAATATCTATCTTTTAAGATCACCTTGCAAGAACAACGGGATGCGACCGACGCATAACGTCGTGGGTAACAGCTATAATTGCGTCGGCTGTACAAACTACGTAGGTGTAACACTGACTGTTTTATAATTCATCTAATATCACGGCGGTTTAGATGGTTTTAAGTGGGAAAATCGTCATTGTATATGACCCCTGTAGAAATATTGAGGAAAGTTGTAAATAAATTGTTTTTGTTCTTCTTTCCTATCTTTTATTAATTACTCTATATCAATATAATTATAATTCAGCCATCAGCTATGTGTTGCGTGTTGTCTAATTAATATTATAGAGGTAATTTATTCTTTTAAAGTATTTATAATAAACAGTTCAGCTGGCCAAAGGCCAAATAGCTTAGCACCACGGTTTCGACCCTTCTGAGTATTATGTCTATATATCAAACATGTTCTCCTATATACTCTCCTACTCTTACATTCGGAACAATCTTAGTGGGAGTATATCTTGGACTTGAATATGGCGCGACCAATATTTCATATACCGCTTCATAAGCTTCCTCATCGTTGTAAGGAAAGAAACAAACACTATAGGAAGGTGCAACTTTTCCCGGTATCGTATGTTTGTCCCGTTGACACCTTCCTACGTACATTGTTTCTGGCCCATACTCTGTGTATCCCCCGGGAACAGCTCCGCAAGGAATAACGTTACCTCTCGTTGTAACCCAGGTACAATCGTAACCACAGAGTATCTGTAAAATATAGAAAAGCAAGACTTACACAGATAATATATTCTTTGTTTTTAAGCAGCTCAGACTCTCTCCACAGATATCGCACTGTTAGCCAATGTAACTTTTGGCGCGTTGGTTTCTACTGACTTGTACTAGGATATGCAAATATCGACACTATATTTATTTTCTCCGGAAAACATGCGGCAGATTGTACACACTCTATTAGGAAACAAGATATAAATGTTTTGGTAGGTACTGAGGTAACATAAAAAAAAAAGGGTACCTCAAACTCATTTTTTAAATGCATATACCCGCCCCACGATACAAAGCCACATTTAATCGATGGGACAAACTTTCCTGGAGTCAGCGACCCCTCGTGAGGTGCTCGCATTATATATAGGAATTCATTTTCATAGCCACCTATTAATGCTCCATAGGGTAACAACCCATCATATTTTACCCAATACATCTTGCCTCCCTCTATTGGTTTAAGACCGGGTCTTTCAATAAGAGGTGGCGCTGAAATCAATATAAATTTTTATAATTATTATGCATATAAAATGAACACATAAATACTTTAACATTTTTCTGTGCTGCTCAAATCAAACACATGCACGGAACGTAGGATATGACGGTTAAGAGTGCTACAACACTATGTTGTCAAATTGTTTTAATCTTAATGCATTTTTAATTAATTATATAGGTAACAGTACCCTGGGGACCTTCTCCATCCATAAATTTAAATCTACACCTAACCTACGTCTAAAACTGGACTGGAAGATATAATCACTCACATAGCACATATTGCACAAACATGTCTTATTTTGTATATGTAATTCTATGTATCCATGTTCTTATGTCTATGTTTGTGCAATAAAGAGTTTATTATTATTATTATTATAGCAAAAATAGAAACATTTGATACTTACATACAAACCTCCATTCTACACTATTTGTATTCCGGTGACTAATGAAAGATACATACTTTAAATTATTTGTACCTATCTCTCGAGAAAATATTGGTTCTGTACTACCAGACTTCCCCAATTCTAGTTTATCGTACCATGTGAGCCAGAATTTTTGAGATCTATCTTCACTAATGATGTTTGGTGTTTCAACTGCTATAAGCACTTCATGTTCACTGTGAACACTTTGATACTGTGTTACTCCAGTGTTGCCATGTCTGTTTATGTATACCTGTAATTAAGTGATGTTGACTATTACATACTAGCATTATGCTTCAGCTCCCATTAGGAGTACAGGTATTGGTTGGCACAACCTGTAATTCTGATTGTTTAAAGGGAATTAATTTGACTGAGTGCTTGTAATAAAAATGCCTGTACCCCAAAATTAAGTTCAGTTCTTACAAAGGCACAATAAAAATATATGGGTTTGATTTAAAGACAAAACCTTTAATAGAATTCATTTACCATACAACTCAAAAAGTTGACAAATTTAATATATCAATATTTTGGCTGTCTAAGTTTTCTTAAAGATCTAAATTGGTTTTCAAACATATAAAAGAATGCCTAAAAAGTGCTACACTAAAAGTAAAAAACAAAACAAATCAGAATATTCACCCATTGTTTTATATGTTTCACTTCTGGCAAATTAGATAGGCCTATAACTGCATACCCACTGCCTTTTAAGGAAAATGTTATGCTACTATTTGAGAATTTATAAAATCTTCGTCCATATTTATTTGATGTTACAAATTCTGTAAAAAATAAACATTCATATTTATAAACATATTCTACCATCACAGAATGTAAATTCTTAGAAAGAATTATTACATTATTATTATTTAATTAAACAAATGTTAAATAAGTATAAATAAACATTTAAAAAAGAGATGGTAGGTATATAATTTAAAATATAGAATCACGATTGGAGTTATATTTCTAGACTATACTAGAAAACTATACTAGAAACTATAGTCTAGAAAAGTAGTAAACTTGGCAATTTATATTTTTGAAATTAATAAAAACAAGTTTTACCTACAACTTCACCCATGTTGTCAGCATTGATGTTCCCTTGTAAACTTCTTTAACAACATAAGACTTAAGTCAGCACAGTAGACAATAAAATTTATGGTATCTTTTAAATAAAACACTTTAAACCGTTAAAGGGTTTTTATTTAAAAGATACCATAAATTTAAAACGCGATATATGTATATTAGTTAAACTTATTTGAAAATTATTTTTAACTTCGACCCGACTTTCCCTCCGACTGTGGCTGCTGAAATGCATCTGAAACGTCGGGGCGAAGTTAAAAATAATTTTCTAATACCAAACTCACGTAAACTACAGACAGTGTTAATGGCATCTTTCTTAATCAAGTCTCACAACCATTTAACACTACAAATTTTGGTATGTATAGGGTACAGTATATTACATATATTAATGTAATTATGTTGTAATAACCTTACCGCAGTTCCGATAAGCTTTTACTGATTATGAGTTTTAACTTCCTTTAACATGAGGGAGATACAGTAGTGTTTTAGACGAGGAAAATAACATAAAAAACTTTACATGCTCACGACAGAAAAATATCGCTAAAAATAACTTCGAACATTTTTACCTTTTGATTATTTTTACAAGTTAAATAAGTTGTTTAATAAGTAACTTTTATTACTTAAGAGGCAAATAATGGCTTACTTTTGATTTATTTATAATAAATAATAACTGGCGTAGGGTTGCCGGTTAGCCGTCTTTTTAATAATTACTACGGTATCACTAATAAGTTATTGTTAATTGTTTTGACTTTAGTTTTGACAATACCATGAAAATTTGACAATGGACATGAGATATTGTGTCATAGCATCATATTATGATAGTTTGTTAGTCAATTATTAAATAAAATTTACATTTTATCATAGTTCAAACTTTGAATTAAAAAAAGCTTTAATAAAATTATCAAACGGTTTGTTGTATAATTAAATTAAATATGTCAACTAATGAGAAAATGTATCAAATGTCTGACTACAACGGAATTTGTGGTAATCGGACATTTTAAATGTTTCTTTACCGAATTTATTAGAATGGTTTATTGACTACAGCTTCCCTTGCGACTCTAAAATGGCAATTTTTTAACAACGGCCACTAAGTGAAATACGTATTTTTAATTATATAAATTAATAATACTGACTTAATTATAGTCTAAGAGTTTGTTTAGCATATGGTAACAATGCTTAAATATTTTGGAACTCAGTTAATGTGAATACAAAAATACAATCCTATGAGTTTCATTGCGCAATCACTCATATTATAGCAGTTGCCGTTATATGTTATTTAAAATTTTAATAACAATTTGAGTATAATGTCTTATAAAAGAACTAAATCATCCAAGGACCTCATAGAAATAATTTCTAAAGAGTTCCACAATATTAGTTTACATAATAATATCAATGTTCATATTATCCTCATTGGAAAATTGAGCTTTTTATTAAATTTAAAACGACCTAACGGCTGTGCTTCTAGAAATAAGAAGCTTTGTTTATTCATTTTGTATTACTTACTAAATATTTAGTAAATTATTTTAAGCCGTGTACATATATTACCTAAAAAAGTACATAAATAAAACCCACTTGTATAGCTTACCCTGTTTTGAGCCCTAATAATTATGTGCTTCGTATTATTATTGCGTGCACGTTATTAGAAAATTATGATAATTATAAGAAGTATGTATGTATTGTAGAAGAATTATGTATACCGGTTAGGTTTTTACTTCCGAATATTAGAAAGAATGCTACAACATAAAAGCGATCTGTGGTATCTAGCATCAACATTGCGAAGTTAAGCTGTGTGCACACAGGTGCACTATCATTAAGGCACGCACACACCGAGCACATCGTGACCCGCCCGCTGGCTGCCTGATGGCGGACCGAGATGCCCTTTTTAATTCGCACAATAACGCACAGTGCGTCGTTTATACGACCTCTATTACACTGGCTGGTTTTATAAGTAATCGAATATAGAGTTTAGTTGTCAGCACCATTTATTAAGCCTTAAGCATTTCGGGTTCAGATAAAAAAAGTATAGATTTGACGAGATCATTGGTGTACTTAATAACAGCAATGTATGGCTACTAATCGTGGGTTCGATTTCAACACAATTTATAACTTTTCTGAAACACGTTGGACTTCGTCTGGAAATTGATATCCAATAAAATCGGTAGTAGAAATATCAAAATTTAGTCCGGGTCACGAACCACCATCTATTAATGAAAAAGCCGTGACGTCTAAATGCGTTTTGGATTTCCGAATGTCCAAAGCCGAAATAGGACGATAGCGCATTTTGTTTAGATTTTACATATGTAGGGTATCACCCAACATCAAGTGGATCCACGATCTGTCCTCCTCTATCATAAAAAATAGACTATAATAGAAAAAGGTTTATTCACAGAAATAACAAAAGATTTACAATATAAGTACATAAATAATATAAAGCCACAAACATAATACAGAATACATAAATATAGATAAAAAACTTGAAAACAAGAATACTCAACTAAATTGAGAGTAATGTGTCAACACTTATATATTATGTGGCCCCATTGGGAGCCGAGCTAACATAAGCGAGATAATAATATAAATTAAATTTGAGAGCTCATCATATTTAAATGTGCCTGGATTTAGATGACCCGACATCTTCTGTCAAAAACATAGACCACAGATCTAATATATAGTTATGATTGGTCCATGTTTTGTTATACATTGTTGCGAATGGCTGTTTTTGCAATTGGCTATGGAATGACCCAGTGTATCTGGGCAGCCGGCGGCCGGCAGTCACCATGAGATGCACCACGCCCCTCTCAGCCTGACATTAGACTACGCGGGCTAGTATTGCAGGTATTCATTCCTCATTTTTCGTTTGGCCATAAAATCGTTAGTAACGCATCGTGCAAAGTAATCGATTTTTACACTGTAGCTTACGCGTGTAGTACACAACACATTTTTGACAGTTTAAAACGCGAAATCTATTGATTGATTGATGCTAAATCCGGGCTGCAGCGTGATGGTTTTCAATGCAGCTTCCTTTTTTTAATAGTTTAAGTACTAGCTATCTAACTATCTATCAGCTAGCTCGAATATATAAGAACGTTTTTAAGGATTTTAACAGGTACTAAAAAACATTTAAACGTTGGTAGAATAGCTAATGGCTGGTGTCTTAAAATAACATTTTAAGACACCAATTTTGGTATTGTTTTAAAATTTATTTATTTTTTACTCACAGTTAGTCGCCTTCATCGAGTCTACGATATAATTCATAGTCCGTTGTGTGAGTTGGCATGAACTTCGTTCATTTTATTAGTAGGAACAACCCTTATAGGGCTTCGTTAGATTAACGGTAAAATAAAAAAATAATCTATCTAGCTATACGTTCTTCAGCACTTCCGTATCTAAAACATTAAATGCGTTGCCCAGGTTTGAATACGAGATCTATATCTATCCTGTACCTACCTATATCAGTGAAACCCGGGATTTTCGTTAAATGCTCTTGTAAAATTAAACACGAACCAATTTAAACAACAGTCAACAGATCGTGCTTTACTTCTGAGTAAGTGATGGCATGTGGTGGTTAACTTTTAACCTTTACTGAGATTCTAAGTTACTGTTACAGGTTTGCAAACAGACGAAGCTGTTAACAGCTACTTGCATTGTTACAGATTTTTCGGATGCTTTACAACGGCCATGGTCAGAGGGGATGTATAGAAACTGCATGTGTCAAACGTCGTCTGTAGGTATTTTAAAACAGACATTATTATTTTATGGTCGGATAGCTCAAATATATTTGTAAATTAATTTTAATTAAGTTAACTAATATACATATTTGATATTATCAATAATTTATTTCCACTAGTATTTCCCAACGTTTCCAATGCTTTGCAGTAGCCGTGGTGAACTGAAGATGGACAGTGTCTCTAATGTCAAAGTCAAATCTGCTATCTGCTACGCTAGCGCCATCTGTTTCGGTGTACTTAGTTAATATTTGGAGACACTAGCTGGGTTCTAACAGAAAGTTTTTGATATCTTGAAGTGTTCCTTTCTATAGAAATTTAGGTGTTTCTTAATTTCAATTGCTATAATATACTTAACTAATAATATACTTCGCCTTTTAAACCGTTTAGTGTTTTACTTAAATTTGTAGGCACTCCTCGCGATAACTACAGACAATATACATGATCTTTTACATTTTGCCCTTTGTTCTAAACAATGTAGCTTATAATATATGCTAGCACGATTTCAGACATCGTTCTGTCAACCTGTCACTTGCCACTGTTACAGGAAGCAGTGCTTTAATGAGATAATTTCCAAGTTTGTGCGAGACAGTAACGCGTTACGGAAAGTCGTGCCGCAGATGTCGTGATCCGCTGTTTGTTGTGAGTTGTGACATATTCGCTGTTGGAATTTTAACCAACACTTGAATAGAGTAGTTATGTGTTTCTAAATCTATGTATTTAAATCAAACGCTTTTAACGGTTTAAAACGAGAAATCTATAGATAACACTTAAATCTAAGTAGTTTCCGCACACATTTTATTATTTCACATAGTACCTACCTATACACTAGGCCAAAATATACAAATGACATGTAGACGTATGCTATAATGCTATATGAACATATGCTATTTAGACTACTACAAGTAGTTTTGTGTTAATAGTAACATAAATCCATGCACAACGAAATCGGGCTTTTATTTCGTTAATTTAATACCTACATAACACCAATATTATAATATAAAATGTATGATCACGTAAAACTAATAGTAAGAAAAGAACCTCGTTTTATCTTAAAAATATATCAATAAGCGTTTTTATTTAACTCAGCAATGTTTTTTTTTTTTTGATTGGATCAGTTTTAAAAAAAAAAAAAAACCACCCGGGGTTTGGGGGGGGGGCGCGCCGGGCCCCCCGTTTTTTGGGCTAAACCCAGGGTTCCCCCGGGGGGGAACTGTGATAACACTTTTTATATAGGTACTTAGGTGTCTAGTTATAATAGCTAGTTAAAAAA